GGGGGGGAAAGGTGAGACTTGTCACGGCTGGGAACGGAGGCTGCTGGCAGGAATTTAACATGCTTAATGAGCCGTCCCAATCCTCCAAGCCGGGAGCTCTGTTTCCCCGAGCAAGCAGGGTCACCGAGCATCCCAGACGCCACGCACCAGCCCTGCCACCTCCATGGATACACCCACTCCCAGCCCTCGCCACAGTCCCTGCTGGCATCATCACCAGAGCCATGGTCCCCACCACCAGAGCGGCCACGTCACGCCTGCCATCCGCTCCTCAGCGCCGGGAGCTGCCGTGGCATCCCTGCTCGTTAGCTCTGCCGGCCGGCTAACGAGGCCGGAGCTGACAGAGGAGGATTACCCACTCCCAGGAAGCCGGCGTGATTGTGTTTACTCCAGAACCTGGGCCGATTTAGTTGTCGGTGCGCATCATTAATCTTCTTCTACAATCCCTTCCCCATCTGCTCCCACTTTTTAATGAACTGCCACTTGCCACATTCAATAAAATCAACACTTTCCCAGGATCGCAGCAAGAGGGGAAGCGAGAAGCAAGGCAGGGAGGGAGGGACGGAGATAAAGAGATGCACTTTGCTTTGGGAAGGTGTTTTCTCATCTACATGGGCAAACAGAGTGCAGCAGCCCTCCCTGAGACACTTTTGGCTGCCTTGCCCCGAGCCAGTCACAAATAACCACATCAGACTGCGCCGAACGCGAGCCGTACAACGCCAAGTGTCAGCCCAAGTTTGATCCCAGCTCTGCTGTTCTACACAATTATTTTCAGCGCATCAATACTGCAGGCGGCACCGAGATTGTAGTTTTCCAGCTTGCTGGCAGCTCTGGGGATTCATCCGATATCAGGCTATTACCTTCTGATTACTTTCCTTGGCAGCCAACCCGTTTGGAGCTGGCAAATAAACAATAGGGAAGAGTGTGATGGGGAGCTTAGCTTTCAAATTACACTTTTCAATCATTTGTCACACCAAAGGTATAATGAGTGTTTCATACAAAACTCAAAAGGCTGCGGGGCTGGGGGGGGGGCTTCACTTAATGTGGAGGGTGCTGGGTTTGGGTGGAGCTCAGAATCTCCATCTCCATTTCTCAGAGTTTTTGTTTGTGGATGTGGCCAGCACAGCTGGGCAGGACCTGCTGGAAAGCCCTGTGCTGGGGAAAAGAGCCAGAACCCCCAGAGAAGGGGAAGGACAGGGCAGGTGCCATCCCAACACACTTCCAGTGACCTCCCTGTCCCTGGCAGTGAGAAGGACTGGAACACCTACACTAATCCTTAAGCATTTGTTCCTTAAAATTACTCGGGATCAGAGAATCTCATGTTAATGTGGATCTAATGTGGAAATCCATATGAGCCATTGGGTATTAATTAAATGCCATCTCTCTATTGATATTCTTGGTGTTTATTGCTCCTGCAGTTAGCGCCGAGCCTGCGCTGCTGTGGCACTGCCCCCTGCACAGAGCATCCCCCGGGCACCCAGCAAAGGGCAGCAGTGAGAGCAGCCCCAGCCTGGCCCTTCCCGACAGCCACCTCCCGCCCTGCAAAAAGTTTCCTGCAGCAGGCTCAGAGGAGAAGCTGCTTTGGGAGTCAGGATGCTGCTGCCTTGCTCCCTGCATCCTCCCCCGAGCTGTTCCAGCCCCGTCTCCCTCCTCAGCTTGCAGTCCCACTGCCCACATGTCAGAGGAGAGCAAGGAATAGAAATCGCTCCTTAAAGTTCACAACCCGTCACTCCAGCTTTCAGAAATACAAGCAAAAATGGCAAAGCAGTAGGGGGAAAATCCATTTCTTTCGAGATGATCTTTCCCTGGAACATGTCCTGTTGATCTGCAGTCAGAGAAAGGCGAGTGTGTTTGTCTGAGATAGGGGAATCAGATCTGTCTGAACTCTCCTCTGCTCCAAACTCCCCACTTCAAAAGAGCTTTCACAAAAAGAAAAGCCTTGAGAGAGCAATCTCTCCTGCTCCAAGACCTTTCCTTTGGGAATGTGCCCCAGGAGGGAGGATCAGTCCTTCTGCCCTTCTCCCATGCCAAAGGAAATGGGGAGATGCACCTGGCAATACCGCCAGGAGTGAGGACAGGACCAGGCTCTCCCCGGCTGTTTTTGGGCTGGATCTGTGACCCCAGAGGCACTGGGGGTGTTTTGGGCTGGATGCTGTGACCCCAAAAGCACCAGGGCCGCACTAGGGACTGCTGACCTGTCGCATCCCGCTGTGTGGCTGAGCTGAGTGCCTGGCAGGAGGCAGAAAGAGCCTTTATGGCTACAGGGATAAAAGGGCTTCGCAGGGACATCTCTGGCTGCCACAGTTCCTGGGGCACCAACACATCTGGGGGGACACAGACAGCCCTGCCCATGGGGGCAACACTTAGAGCATCCTCACTGCCGCGGGGCCACCAGCGGCGTGGGGACACGGTCAGTCCCGCCCTGGAGGGAACCAGGCTGCCGTCTCGGGGGACACTGCGACCACGGGGGCACCGCGGAGCGCTGGGGGTCTCATTAGAGCCTCTCGCTAATGGCAGCGGCGCGGGGCGGGCGGCTGCGCGGGGATGCGGGTCCCTGCGCCGGTGCAGCAGTGCCACCTCCCGTCCACGCCGCGGGGACAGCCCGGGGCTCGCCCACCCTCTGCGAGGGTCCCTCCGGGGCTCTGTGTCCCTGCGCCGCTGCCGGGGGTTCGCTGTGCCCGGGAGTATCCCCTCCAACACGGGGGGCTGCCGGCACCCCGACACTTGCCAGGGTTTAGTGGCCGGTGCTGCTGCCCACGGAGAGGGAACACTGCAAAGCAGCTCTCTGCTAGCAGAAGAAACTGGAGAAAAACAAGCTCTTCGTCAAAAAGAAAGGGAAAAAAAAAAAACCAGCAGCGTGACCTATAAACATCTGCTCCTGTTTCCTTCAGTTATTGCAGAGAGAGAAGCCAGAGATATTTCAGGCTGCTCATACATCTGGGAAGGGGTTTGGGGTTTGCCTTACTTTCCCCCCTGCCCTCCCCCCGCCAACCACTTCCAAGCTGTAAGAACTGAAAAGCCCCCGCAGAAAGGATTAGAGTTAAACCTCCCTGTCATTACCTCGAGCAGTGTCCCTAAATGCTCGCCCCGAAGGGGTTTGCTGTGGGGGCATCTGCTGCGGGGGGTCTGGCAGGTCTCCGAGCCCCTTTCTACCCCCGAGGAGCCCCTCTGTGATGAGGGGACAGGCAGAGAGGCACCGAGAGGCACCGCAGGGTGCATGTCCAGGGGCTGAGCCTGTTCCTGCCCCCACAGCTGCGACAGCAGCCAGCAATAAGGAAATAAACACTGTATGTTAACATTTGCTCTCCTGCTGCCCTGATTCCCACCAGGATGAGCAGCTCCTCACTTTGTCTTCCCGAAAGCAGCCCGTGTGGGAACCCACCCTTCCTCGGGGGAACAGCCCGGGGTCTTCCCAACAGCTGCCAGATCAGCCAGGATGCCCTGGAGTGGTCCTGGATGCTCTGAGTTATGGGGGAATTTCTCTAGAGAGAGGGTGTGCAAAGTCCTGCCTTCCCTTTAGCCAGGTAGGCAAAGGATGCTCTCCAAGGGAGGATGCAGTGGCCAAACACAGAAAGGTGCAGGAGAACTGAGAAAGGAAACGAGAAACAAACCCCAGCTGGTGAACAGCATCGGGAAATCCCACTGGGAGCTCAGGAGAGGAGTGGGAAGTGGTTTGTGTAACCTTGGAGACGGAGACAAGGAGCCCGAAGTGGAGGGAGCGGTGCCTGGGCGGGCACCAACCTGAGCATTGGGATGGGAACATCGCAGGGGGGCTCGGGCAGGAGGGGTGTGAGCCCCTTCCCAAAGCTGGACAGAGGGCCTGGGAATGAAGCCCATGGAGGGCCTGGGGAAGCACGAAGCAGTTCTGTGGGGAAGCAGGAGGGTGAGACAGGTGAGACTGTGGGAGAAAGAAGGGGAGGTGGAAGGATAGAGGGAGTGAAGCGGGAAGGAGATGATGCAAGAGCAAGAGAAAAGATCAGATAGGAAATAGGGAAGAGCATGGATAAAAGCTGTACCCAGGCTGCACCGGTGCTGCAGCCAACACATCACAGCCAGAACTGTCTGTCTTGTGAAGCGCTGTATCCGTTTGGATAAATCCTATCCATCATCCAGAGCAGGCAATGGCTGCAGTTCCCTCGGAACTTGGGCTGCCTTCTGCTTCTCTTACTTTCCATCCACCCCATTTCATGCCCCTTTTGCGCTTTCCCTTTGGCACAAAGCCCCTGGAGCAACCCTCCAGATTCTCCCCTGCCTGGCCACCAACTCAGCACTGGGGACAGCCACATGTTCCCTGCTCATCCCTGGAGGGAGCAGCAGCCCAGGGATCCCAGCGCTTCCCACCGGCCGGGCAAGGGACACCTTGGATAACGCGGGGCATCAAACAGCCACAATTAGCTCCCATCTTAATTACACACAATACTGATGAGCTCATCAACTTAATCTAATTAGTCTGCAGAGCTCAATTGCCTGTCCCTTTTTCTTAAATAATGCACTATATAAGCCTATTATCCCTTTGGATACAACCTGTTTGCTCACACGATCCCTCAGCCAGGCACGGCCGGCCCTGCCCTGTGCACCATGGCACCTATCACCGTCACCTTCATGTCCCTCTGCTCCCTGGGGAGGGGAAAAGTGCATTCCCGAGGGGCTGGAACCCCACAGCATCCAGGCTCTGAAAGTACCATCAGCTCTGGGCAGTGGTTGGCACACCCAGGGATCCTGGTGAGCCCCCAGCGCCGCAGCCACCGCCCCCAGAACCTGCCCTCGCCCTCTGCCCGAGCAGGAATCAATGAAATCCCCTAAAAGCTCATAACTCGGAGGTAATTATAAGAAGCATCAATTACCCAGCGATGCAGGTTTCATGAATTCAATTAATTTGCATAGTGATCGATTGAGGCAGGGCCCCCGGGGGCCCCGGGGAAGGGAGGACATTGTTCTGCACACCATTGATTCCACAATGTAAAACCAAAGCGCTCTCCCCTCATTCAGAGCTGCTCATTCAGCCATATTAACTTTCAGATCATTTATTTTTGTATGTCTTTCAACTCTGTTTGTTGCTATCACACAAATGCAGAGTATTACATTGTAGAGAATAATTGAATCAATACAGTCGTGGTGCTCTGGGTCTCCCAGACCCGCAGGAGCGCGGGAGCTGGCGGGAGCCTGTGCGCAGCCGGAGAGGGGTTGTTTTAACCTTTCCAGTTATTAAAATGCCCGTCTGGCTCTGGATTAACTTTCTGCACTGCACGGTTGTTATTGTTTTGCCGGGATCGGAGCGGGAAACGCCGGCGCTGTGAGGAATCCACAGAGAGGCTGGTCCCTGTCCCCGAGCATCCTGAGGCTCCATGTCGGGGTGCAGACGCAGCCAGCCCTCCTTCCCCTCGCCGTCCTTCTCCATTGCAGGCGGCCACACGCAAATAAGGGCCTGGGAGAGAGGAAGAAGCCCCTTGAAATGAAAAGCCGGCGCATAAAGGAAGAATCCTTCAGATTGAAACGGCTCTGAAAGGAGACGGGTTTTAATTCCGCCTCCCCTCCCACTGGGATATTAGACAGCTAAATAGCAGCGTGCCTGTTTCCTTCAGATAACCGGCTCCCAATGAGCACCGTAATTGTCCCCGGCCCCTCTCCGGCGCCGTGCCGAGCAGGTCATTTACCGCCCGGCACACGCAGCTGAACACAAATCCATTTTCCAGGAGAAATTTCTATTCTTATCTGGGCTCTGCAAGAGGGTCGCACGCGGCCCCCGTTAATTGAAGCTTTGGTGTTGGTTGGAGGAGGCCTCTGATCGGCTCCGCAAAGGGCTGAGACGACGCCGCGCGCCTGCGCCCGCCGGGCACCGCCGGGACGGCCACGCCGGGGAGGGCATCCTGACAGAGAAGGAGAGAGCACGTACACCCCACCTCAGCAGTGACATGCCCCAGGGCCACCTGCCTTCAGCCCCGGGCTGGTGGCCCACGCAGACCCAACCTGTAGCGCCGAGCGCCCGCCCAGGGCGCTCCCCGTGATCCGGCGTCTTCTGAGCGCTTTGGCTCGTTTGCTGCAATATCCTCCAGCAAATCAACCATCCCCTTCTTGGGATGTTTTCAATCTGTTTTATGTTGATTTTAATTAAAGAATTTGAAACTGAACAAACAGTTCGTAGCAGGTGGCCATACGAGTGTGAAATAAGCAAACTGTTCTCTCTGCCACAAACCCCACCAGTAAATTCCTTCAAATTAATCCCAGCCTCCGAGAGGCTGCCGGCTCTGTCTGAAGCAAGCCGGGCTCTGCCATTCTCCAAATATTTGCCTTCATCCCAGTGCCAGGAGCCGGGGAGCAGGGGTGGACAGAAGCCCTGTCCTCGGCAGGGCAGCTGTCTGCCCACCTTTGCTCCTTGAGAACAGCAAGGCTGATTTCCCACTGGGGAAATACTGCACCACGGATTTGGGAGAGGCTCCTGGAGCCTGGCCGCACCCTGTAATGCCACCAGCATCAACCCTAGCCAACGAGGAACCCTTCCTCACCCTCCTCCTCCTCCTGCCCAAGCATCCCTTCTCTGCTCCAGGACTGTCCTCTGCAGCAAGGAGCTCCTGCCATGACCTTGACGGTACAGAGGGAAGGGCCCCTGCCCAGGTAACAGCCACTGCATATTGATGGCCCCCAGGGAAGGCAGAGGCGAAGCATAGATGCCCACAAGCCTTTATTCTTGCAAGGCTGTGCCAGAGACAGCAAGGGGAGAGAAAAAAGGAGGGAGAAGAAACACACTCACGCTCCTCTTCATCTCACACTCCTGCCCTCTTCCAGGAATCTTATCAGCATCTCTAAGAGATCACATTTTGCCCTCTGGAAACACCAGCTCCCTCACTGACTGCAGGTGGAGAGGAGCCATGGGGTTGTGCAGTGTCTTGGATCCTGTCCCCTGGCCCTGGGGTGCAGAGGCACCTTGTGCCATTTCCATTTCCCTCCTGGTTCCCACCTCACCTGCTCTTCCTGCTTCTCCAACCACAGCCAGGGTTGTGATTTTAACAGATTCCCTGTCACTTGCTGTCTCCCACCCCAGCTTCTGGTCTCAACTCCATTCTGGGGAGGGAGGCAGCTCTGACCCCACCCCAGCCACGGAGCCACTGAGCCACCAGCTCCTCACTCCACTCCTTTCAGAGGGACAGGCTTGTCCATCACTCCCTTTTCCCTCTGCAGTGCTCAGAGCATGTTTAACATCCCATCTCTCCTGTCCCCAGTAACTCAGAGCCAGGACTCCAGAGCCACACTCCAGTCAGGCCACGCTCCCAGGAGCCCGTGTGTGCCCACGCCAGCCGAGTTACCCAGATAATTACAAGATGTTCCACTTTCCTGGGATTACCGTCGGTTTTTCTTCCCTTCCCCTCAATAAATATGGATGCACAGCTGCTGCTAAACACAAGCAACAGAAATAAAAAGGGGGCAGGCTGCGAGACGCCGCTGCTTCCCTCTGCTTCCCTCCCTGGGTGCGCTCCCGGAGCTGCCGCTGTCCCGGATTCAGGCGGCTTGGAGGCGAGGGGGTGGATTGGGATTTTTTTTTCCCCCAAATGCCAGGCCCAGGTGTCTGTGAAGACAAAAGAATGCTAACAAACACCTGGGGAAGGAGACAGGATTTAATAGAAAAGGAGGCAGCACAGCTTCTCCCACAGCCTCGCCCCGGAGCCTGGAAGGAAGCGCTGAGATTAAAGAGCTGAACCCCTTCCGTGAAGGCACCACGGGAATGCCTCATCCCAGTGCTTCCTCCCAGCCTTTAAAGGCAGGGATATGCTCTGCTCCATATATTAATCTCCTAATCACTAAATTAATTTCCATCTCAGTTACAGCACGCTCGGAGTCTATTAGTAAATCCTGGCCTGGCTGCTTGGCAACTTTTGTTGTAAGATTCCTATTAGATCGTGTTTCAAACCAGCGGAGATGGAGCAGTTATTATCTTAATAAGTCAAACATTAAAGGCACTACAGCGGGGATGGGAGCGCTCCTGCTGCTCCCAGCCGTGCATCCAGGCACACACAGCACACCTGGATGGATGGCAGGGATCCCCACCCCTCCCGCCCTCGGGGAGCCCACCCTGCGCCCCCAGCACCCCTGGGGCCAGTGCCATGCCATGCTGCACGTCATTCCTCACTCCTGGAGCCCACGCAGAGCTGGTCTCCTGCTGGGCTTCATTCCAGAGAGGAACAACCAGAAGTGTTTGCTCACTCGTCTGTGAACTGATTTTCACCCAACCCCTGGTGCATCCCCTGCACAGGCAGGACGGGGGCACGGGCAGAGGGCACTGGGCAGCACCGTGCCGGGCTGTGGAGGGGCTCAGGACCAGCACGGGGGGACAGAGCCCGGCTGGGGATGCCCGGGAAGCACACAGGCACGGACAGGCACCCTGTGTGCCCCCCAGGCCAGCGCAGGAGGCTGTGCCAGCTCACTGCAGATTGCCTCCACCATCCACCCCTCTTCCCGCGCCGCACGCCGGCTCCTCCGGCTCAGTGGCGTGAAATTTAATTTGCAGCAATCAGCTGGAGGTGAGGCAGGCGCCGAATTAGCTCGACGTGATGCTCTCGCCTCTGCCCAGACCCCCCCCGCTGGCAGGCGGTGGAGGCACACGGTGCTCTCTGCCTGTCATCCCAAGCCCAGCACACCCGGACGGGGGGTCACCCAGCCAGGGCCATCGTGGGAACACGGGATCAGCCCGAGCTGCCGTGCTCCTCCCGCCTGGTTACAGGAGCAACACGGAGGGTGAGTTATGGCGTGGCTGGATGCACACATATTCTGATAAGGAAGAATAATAACTTGTCAAAGATATATATGATATGTGTTTTCTTTCCAGACAGAATATATATTGGGATAATTCATCAACTTGGCCTGGCACTGGCCAGAAGAGAGAAAGAACAGAAAAAGAAACTCAATAAAAAGAAGTCAAGGCAGAAAAACCCCTTGGCACTGAGTGCCACCTCCCTGCTGGCTCCCTCTGCTCCAAACTTTGTCTGGCAGGGACTCCTCGGCTGTTCCACTGGACTCGACTGCATCCACAGGGATGCTGTGCCATGAGCACCACAGTGGGCTGGGGACAGCTGTGTCCCCAGCCACCCTAAGGCCATGAAGAGGAGTAAAATGTGAGTGAGAGAAAGAAACACTGGTTTGGGCCAGAGAGAAAACCTAAGCACCAACAGCCCCAACTCCGTGCTGCCTAACCCTGCTCTGAGCACCTCCCACGAGCAGGACTGTGGCACAAACACCGGGACACAGGGGCTGAAAGCTGGCACATCCCAACCTGGCACACCCAGGGAACCACAGGAAGATGCAGAGGGGGTTTGTAAAGTGATTTGTCAACTGACAAGCAAAAATATATTACCAATTTAGGCCCGTGATTTGCCTGCAACTTTTTTATCCTTGAGATGCTGTTGAATAGATTAAAGTGTCAGCTTTGATCCGTGCATTTGGATGGAAACATAAATATCTCCGGCGCTTCTCCTCCCGGTCAGCTCCTGCCGCGGGGCCGGCGGGCCCGGGGGTGCTGCCTGGCCGTGCCCACCCCCAGACAGAGCCCCAGGGCTTCTGCAGGGACCCTTGGCAGTGCCTTTTGGGCTGCTCCTCGTCCCCCAGGCTGTGCTTCCATGGGAGGAGGCAGCTGTGGCTGTGGAGCAGGAGCAGGATTTGGGCGGTAATCCCGTCTATCCTCCCTGCACGCTCGGCTGAGCTCGGCGTGGCTTCCCAGCTCCCAGCCCGGCTGGCCGAGCAAATCCTGCTCGCACGGAGCTGTCAAAAGTGGATCCGAGTGCACAGGGCAGCAGCTTCCCTCTGCTCCTCAGTCTGGGGCTGCATCCCTGCTCCTGGGGATTTGCACCCTCCTGCCTCGCTCCCTCCATCCCGCAGCCCTGGCATGGGCACAGCAGCGGCTGCCCCCAGGGCAGCACCAAGGCAGCACCCCCAGAAATGCCAGGATAGCAGGGCGAGACCTGGAATTACGCTGATATTTCGTTTAGTGGGAATTTGGCTGGACCTGCCAATGTTTTAATGCTGGTATAGAGCACAGGCTTGGCTGGAGAGTGCAGGGAGGAATTTTGGATGCTCCTGGGATGCGGGATGCACATCCCAGGTGCAGGATGTGCCACTGGGACAGTTCTCATACTGGCACTACCCCTGCAGCCTCGTTGGACACGGCTCTGTGTGGTGCCACACCAGTGCCAGCTAAGCACCTGCTCCTGGAGCAGTGAGCAGAGATCTCTGTTCTGGGTAATTTCCTGACACAGAAATATGCAGCATCATTCCACTTTCAGGCAGGGAAACAAATGAGTCTCTTCTTGCTCCCCTCTCCTGTTTTCCCCTCCTCCCCACCCTCATTTGATCCCGCTCCATGTGGCAACATCAAACGAGCGTTGAATATTTTAGCTCCTGTAAAATATTTATGTTATAACGCACGGAAGGAAATTGGTCGGTTCCAGGCCATGTAAACATATGCCTCCAAACAGCTGGATCCCTGGCAGTGCTGGGTGAGGATGTGGCTGCACAGCTGTTGCATTCCCAGGTATTTAAAGCCCTGGGAGGCCAAGCATGACCAGGAAGGGGCAGGGAAAGGAGGACCAGGATCTCAGAGCTCGAACGGCAGACGATGGAGCATCGCTCGCCCTCAGGCAGCTCCTCTGCCCTGCCCCACAGAAGGGTGGGCAAAGGTGGTGCTCTGAACCCCTAGAAGAGTGAGGGGAGGGAGGGGGCCTGCCCTCCACCCAGCAACTGGAGATTAATTGAGGCCTGCCATTAAAATGTCACCGAGAAAATTATTAAGTTAAGGTAAACCACTTCCACGCGTCAAAAGCAAAGGCAATCAGTCCCAGGCATGTCCCCCTAGGAAATTATGTGGAGTAATTAATCAAAAAGCTAATGAGAAATGTGTTTTCTTTCCCAGCCTAACACCACATCATATTCTTATTAGCCAAGGTTATTACAATAGTAATCATGCATGCTCCGAGTTCAGATTGGGTTTTTTGCTCCACTGCCACCAATTTAGAAAGCCATTAATGGGAAAGATAAACCCCGATACACAAACCAGCCTTTTGTGTTTGTGTGCCCGGCGGGTGATCCTTGCCTGTCACCCAATTCTGGGCCACCTCTGCCCGTCATGACGGGGATCACGGGTGGGCACTGCCAGACCCACCAGAGACACACCACAAACCAGGGAGCTGCTGGGCTGAGGCTGCCAGATCCCCTGGTGCCCTGCTCTGCTCTTCCAGTCCTTTCCCAGGATGGAAATAATCAACACTCAAACTCCAAGAGACATTCTCACTGTGCACAGGAGACAGGTTAGGATTAGGGTTCAGGAAATTGGGAACGGCGCTGTTTGTGAGCACCCAGTCCTGGCACTGGATGCTCATCCCTTATCCAGCTCTATCCCTCTTGTTCTAATGCCAGGAAGGGAGACACGAGTTGCTCTGTAAATCCAGCTGGAAGCAGGTAATCTGCTTGCTACAATGGGTTCCCCCTTGGCCCAGCTCAAAGCACAGCCACCTGCCAATCTCAGCAGCCCCAAACTGCACCGTCAGCACCTGGCAAAGGGAAACCAGCTCTGCTTGATATTCAGCATTAAATAATTCAGCCCCTACAGAGAGACGGGGGAGAAGAATGAGCCTGACAAAAAATATAAAGATTTCCTATGCCCTGTTAAAAATGCATTGACCTGATTAGCTCAGCTCGAGGAATGCTGAGCCACGCTGGAGCTGAGCAGGGAATCCCAGTCTGCACTGACAGCAGCTCGGAGAGGACCTTGGCGGGCAAATCCCACTCTCCAGTGCACAGGAGCACCTTCTGTGGGGGGGGGGGTTGGTGTGTTTTCCTGCTAAACCTCTTTTCCTTGCTTGCATACATGTGACACATGGGAGATCTTGCTGCAGGAGGGCCTTTCCTTCAAAGAATCACAGAAACAGTTGGAACAAGTTGGAAAAGACCTCCAAGATCATCAAGACCAGCCTTTGACCAATCACCACCTTGTCAACTAGACCAGAGCACTGAGTGCCATGTCCAGTTGCCTCTTGTCCAGGGACATCCCACAGCTTCCCTGTGCTGCCCCTGGCAGCTCCCTCAGGGCTCCGTGGGCACGAGCCAGAGCATTGGAGCCCCCCTCCCTTCCCTGAGCCCCCCTGCACAGCTGCCCCTCTGCCTCCCCCCTGCCACACCGCTGAGGAATCCCACACATTCTCTCCAGGATGTTTGGCAGCCCCAGCTTTGATGTGTGGATTAATGAGAACTGACACCACTGGAGCAAAGCCTTCAGAAGCCCAAAGGCAGGGCCCAGGGCAAGCCTGGAGGGGACAAGGCTCTCTGAGTGCTCCCTTTGATCGCTCCGTGCTTGGCTTCACCTCCCAGCAGCGGGAGCAGGGCCTGGAGGGGTGGTGGCACACACAGTCGGGCTGCCCAGGGCTGGGTGGTTCCAGTGGGTACCCTGGATGGTCCCACTGGGCACCATCCCTGGGGCTGGGTTCGCAGTGGCACCCTGGCACAGCCACCTGAGCACACACTGGCATCCCAGTGAGGACATCCCATGGGAGCCAGGCTGGAGCCTCCCAGCACTGCTCCCTCCTCCCTGCCCACCCCGGCACAGGGCAAGGTCACAGGTGCTCACCTGTAGCACTGGAGCTGCGCTGGCCAGGAAGGGGATGTGGTGTCTCCATGTCCTCTGCCTGGAACAGGGCTCCTCTCCTCTAGGCTGGGGACCTCATGGCATGGCACTTGAGCAGGGCTGGATTTGGCCAATGTCCCGGCACGGCACCTGGAGAGAAAACAACCACGTCACCAAGAGAGAAAACAACCACATCACCACCCAAACACCCCAAGGAGGAGTTGCTGCAATATAATAAACTCCCTTCTAATCCACTGACTGAAAAACCTCCAGGCATAAACCTCCCTGGGATCCCAACAGGAGCACAGCTGGGGGCAAGGAGCTGTTAGTGCCGAGCGGGATGAGGAGGATGAGGAAGGCTGTGGTGGGACCAGCAACCAAGAGCTCTAATCCCTGCTGCCAGCATTGCTCTCCAGGGCTCTCCACAGCCCCCTTCATCAGAAGGGGCTCCCCCAGGGTGGGTGGGCAGAGCCTCCCCTCTGCAGCATTCAGAGAAGGGCCCTTCAAGAGGAAATCCATTTGTTAGCCAGTAATTACACACGGACCAGAACACTGCCAGGGCATCAGGGACATAAAGCACTCCACAGTTATAATCTGGAATTCCTGCTGGAGGGTGTTTACTGCTGGAGCAACACTTGGTTTACAGCAGGGCACCAGCCTGGCCCTGGGGCCAGAGGTGCCAACAGGCAGAGGGTCCTGCCCTCAGCCACCGCTGCTGGAATCCCCTGGAGCAGCCACAAGTCACTGGGGACGTGGCCATGGGCATCCCCCAGAGCAGCCGAGGCCGTGGGCCTCGCCCTTGCCAGCCCTGCAATCCCTGTCCCCACAGCAGAGGGTACCAGGCTCTGGGCACTGCCATCCTCACCTTCTCCTCCTGCACAGGAACTCGGGCTGGCGGTGTCGGGCGGCCTTGGCTGATGAAGTTATAATTCCTGAAGTTCCTCCAAAATGAATATGGATGCACATCTGCCTCCGCTTAGGTGTAACAAATTGGTAGAGATTGTGTTAAATTATGCTGAAACCGTGTCCACTGCCAACATCCCAGCTACCCCGGGCACGGAGTGGTTGTGGCCCGGAGCTGCCGGAATCTTCCATGGACTGGAAGAAAGAAATGCTGCAGTTTTAACTCTTCACCAGTTTAGTGCAGAGGGGGTCCTCCACATGCTCATGCTCCTGGAGAGGATGAGCAGACACTCTGGGGGAGGCAGGGGGGGGCCAGGCTGCCCCTGAGACCCGATTCCATGGTGGGGACACGGTGCTGTCCCCCAGGGGTGGCCACAGGGTAACTGAGGCACGGGAACCTTCCCACGCCCCGGGTGTGCAGCAGAGCGTGGCTGAACCATGAGCCCAATTACCCAGGGCCTTGCTCTACCCGCCAGATAACGCATCTAAAACATGTTTATTTCCATCCAGGCTGCTTCTCAATTTGATTATTTATCTCCCATTTAGCCTCTGACAGATCAAAGGCTCGGCGGAGGGGAAGCGGAGCCGGGCTGCGCATGAAAATGAGCCTTGATACATAATTAATTAACATAAAACAGTTTCATTAGGAGATGGTGTTACATGGCTGTTTGTCTTAAAAATTTAAGCTGTGTAAAGAGCACGAGGGAAAAATACATCTCCCTGCCAGCCCCTTCCCCGTTGCTGCCCAGCCCAGCCCAGCTCCAGCTCCCGGGAGCACAGGGAGGGGTTGGAGCGTGGCCCCTCTCCCTGAATTGCACGCCATGCCTCCTACCCTTGATTATTAATCTGTTTTTAATTCTATTAAGAGATAGCCAGGAGAAAGAGTATCAATTTTAGATTAACAAGGTTATTAGCACTTAATTATGTGAGGTGTCTTTGTAATTGAAAAGGAAAAGAGGAAGCGCCATAAATATCCCGGCCCCCGAGCTCCTGGGGGTTTGCGGGTGGCTCTTTATTCACGAGGCTGTGGAACCATAAATATTAAATATCTGGTGAAAAAAAATTACAAGGCAGAGAGAGGATGCCCTCTGGATATTCCGGCGCCGAATGCTCTTGCATTTACAAATATTCATTAACTGGGATCTGCAAAGTTATTTCCACCAAGACTCGGCGAAGGAGGAAGAGAGAGAGAGGTTATTGAAAAAAAAAATAAGAGTCTAGAGTAAATATTATTAGTAATTTTTATCTCTGCGTGTCCCTAATTATGCCATAATTAGGGAAAGTGCACATATGCATATACAATCACTAACCTGTCGGTCTCGGGGATCTTCATTCCCAGCCCTGCTGTGGGATGGAGTTGCTGGGAAAAACTCTTCTCCCCCAAAAAGAAATGGGGGGGGAGTGCCCTGGGAGGACCCCACTGTGGCACCATCCCCCAGTGCTCCGTGCTGGAAGCCCGGGACGATTTAGGGAGCCACCAGCTCTTCCCAGCACCCACGACCTGGAGCTGCTGCCAGTTAGAGAGAAATTAAATGACAAATCTCAGGCTCTTTTTAATTAAAAAATAATAGAACTCAGCAGGAAACGGTGCAAAAACACAGCACTTCCAGAACCCACTTTGCTGGAGCTGTTAAAAAAACAACAGCCAAGAGGCAGGTGGGGGGGGAGAAGCCACATTCACAGGGACAGGTGTGGCAGGACAGGTGTGGCAGGACAGGTGTGACAGGACAGACACAGGGTGGCCAAGGGTCCATTCCCAGGACCATCCCTCCCACCAGCCCCACGAGTCCCCCTCCCATGGGCAGGGAGCTCCTGGGGGAAGGCAGTGTCACACCCCAGGAATTAAGCTCTTAATCTAAACACATTACCCTGAGCTCATCAACAAAAATCTAATTACGACGCGTGAGGCCAAGCTTAATTGCTCGTCCTTGACATGAGCAGTGCCCACGGAAGCCCATGAGCCAGAGAGAGCCTGTTACTGGTATTATCCTGCTCCTTGCAAAAGTAGGAAAGGAAAACGGGGAAAAAGTACTGTTGTGCAATTAGCAGCAGAACACCAGGCAAATGAGCTTGTTAATTGTTGGGGGAAGCTCCGAGGGTCATTAGCAGGTGCCTGTCTGGGGGCTGGGCAGGGGGAGGCTGCTGGGATGCCAGTGCCAGCTCCAGAGGGACAGACAGGCAGTGGCAAGACCTCAGGGACTCCAAAAAGGAGGAAAATGGCTTAAACCCAGCTTTTCTCAGAGTAACAGAGCGTAAAGACAGGAGCTGGAGCAGATTCTGAGCTCGGCCCTGTTGTCCCACCCTGGGGAGCCAGGCCCAGCTTCCCCCAAACACCCCTGGGCTCCTCGTTAGCTGATCCCACTAATGAGGGAATCGGGATGCAGGAGGTGGCTGAGCCCCGCTGCCTCCCCCGCGCGCTCCTCCCCGACTTATCACCAGTCACAGGATGTTTACAATAATTTTTAATTTGCGCAATTATTAATCATTTTTCTATCTGTCTCATTTGCATAATAATTACTCTGCTCGCTGTTTGCCATGACTGTGAATGACAGTGGTTTAAATTAAATTAAGATTTTAATATTCATTTTTTTGGGTTAAAGCTAATCAAAGTTGCTGCTCTATGCCAAGACCGGGGCTGTGCCCTTCCAGAACCACTAATGAAGAGATCCACGTCCCGGTGTCACTCCTCCATCTCCATCACCCCGCTCGTCCCAGAGGATCCCGCAGCATTTTCCAATTGCTCTGCTGCCAGAACTGCTCAGACATCTGGGACAGGACATGTGGGATGCAGAGCAAGGGCACGGGGACAAACCTGCCTCCCTGCTCCCTGGGCAGCACACGGGGACAGGATCATCACCTGAGCTCCCCATACCCTCATTTTGCATAGATGCATCTTAAAAATAAAATATCTGGTAACAAACATGTAACAGATGTATAAACCCAGCATTGTGATGAACGAGGAGGTCCCCAGGTTAGTACCTCTAAAATTTTTAAACCCCAGCTTTCAAAATCAGCTGCAAGAGCAGAACTCGATACTGCTTTCAGGTCCTAAGCACAACATTTTTTTTAGTACCAGCATTAAAATTGCTTTACTTCCCTAAGAGCAGCTTATAATTCCAGCTATGACACGAGCCAGCTGTGACTGTGGCTCTGCAAGAGCAGCCACTGTCACTAAGCAGGTGAGGAAGGTACCAGCATCCACCTGAGCGACAACTCTGCTCACAAGGGCAAATTCAATCATTCCACAGTAGGTTTTTTCACATTTCCAGCAGCACTCAGATAAGTGAGAGCAAAAATGAGTGTGTGTCAAGTGGAACTGCACTTGTCAAGGCTGCACCTGCCTCAGGTTACAGGGGCAAAAAAAATAGGACCTTGATGACAGAAAGGGGAAGTACAACTGGAAACACCTGAGCAGGCTGACAACACCCTGGGAGCCCCCACCTCCCACCATCACCTCCCACTCCCAAACCATTCCCTGCCCAACAGGCTGCAACAGGGCCCAGGCTGGGAAAGATTTACCCACCTTGGAAAAACCACCACCACACAAAATCACGTAAAAAAAAGAAAGGTGTTATTTACAGGTGTACACACCACTTCCAGGACTGCTAGAAACGTTACACAGGGATAAAAAACTGGGAAGTCCCAAGAGTCTGGCATTCCAGGGCAGATTTTGCCATTATCCCTCCCACCCACAGCCCTCCTAACGCTGGAGAATCCCTGGAAAGAGCGATCCTGCCCTGCCCCTGCCCACTGCTGCAGCCAAGGCATCTCCATGGAAACTGCTGCCTGCATTCCATCCCTGCTCCCCAGCACCTCAACAAGAACAACTGTATTTATTTCCACAAGTGCTTTCTGGCACGCAGGGATTAAGGGAAGCTCTGCCTGGCCTCCAGCTCTGAGACTGACAAATCTGATCACAGGGGAGGGGTTGTCACACTTCACACCAGAGCCCCAGGCAGCAGCGTGGGGGAAGTGCTGAGATCAGCACTGTCCAGAAGGGTCTGGGGGAACCAGCTGCTCCAAAATATAAGGGAAGCAATTTAACCACTCTCCATACATTTACTTCCACAAGAAATGGACTCCCCCAAAGAGTTGCTGGCGCTCCAGAAGATCCTGCTGCCCAATGCAGGTCACTCTTCTAGCGCCAGAGCATTCCCTGCTCACTTTCCTGCTTGGACAGGGCAAGGAAAAGCTGAGTTTGAACTTCACTGCACTTTGGTGACTCTGGGATCTACAGGGCACGATAACTACACAAACTCAGCAGAAGTTCAGAAGCTAAACTTAACCTTAGTTATGGAGCAGACCAACCTACTGCATGAGTGTAACTCGTGACCAAGCGTTCGGCATATTTGCACCTGAGATTTAGGACACCTGAGGCTTGGGAACCACCCCCAGAGGTCACAGCATTTGGCATAGAACAAAAGAGTTTGTTAGAAGACAACTAAAGGGACCAGGGACCAGTGTCTTCCACAGAGAGCTGGGGGCTCCTGCAGGCAGTGGCCCCTTCAAGTCTCTGAGCTTGTTCCTGGTTGACAGGGAATCCAGCCTTGCCTCTCGGAAGATGGTCCACTGGAATACTGAATGCCAAGGACAGGGCTTGTTCCAGGGAGAGCAGGCCATTCCTCACAGCTTTGGCAGCAGGTGATGTCCAGGGGATCACTCCAGGAGCTCTGCACAGTTCTTGTCTCACCTACATGTCCTCAACACTCCACTTGTAGGCGAGTTCCTGCACCGCCTTCTTGTTGGCAATCCGGGCAAAGCGCTGCTGCTCGAACCCATTGGACCTGCAAAGGGACACCCAGGTGACCAGGAGCTGCTGGGCAGAAGCTTTTCTAAAGCCACAAAACTTGGCAGAGGTCCTACAAGTTCTCCACTACATTTACTCTGGTTACTGTGGTTACCAACAGTTCGCACCTCTGAGGTTACTCACACCCCTCCTGAGAGTACCAGCCTTGTCCTTCTGTCCCATCACCCATTTGTAACTTAATCTATTCAAATTTCCAACTGCCAACAACCTCACTCATCCAGTAACTGGGAATCTTTACACTATGACCACTCTGCAGCAAAATTCATTTATTTTTACTCTATTTTAACAGAAACAAGTACCTGTCCACACCGTCCCAGCGATGCCCAGGCCAGATGTTAAACCTGTTGAGTGGAGGTGCTGGTCCCTTGTACCTGGGTTTTTCTGGAACAAAAAGAGCAGAACAGCTGTTTGTTTTCAGCACAACCAGGGGGTCACATCCTCACCCATCCAAGGGGTGTCTGCAGGTACACAGGCAGGGTGCACAGGCCACCTGACAGCCAGGTACAGCTCCCAGAGGAAGCTCCCAAAGACCCACTTCAGCAAACTGCACCCTGCCAAGTTTTAACTCAGCAGATCCTGCTCTGAGCTAAGAAATCATAGTCACCATTACTGGTAACAAGGCAGTAACTCCAGAGACCACAGAAAAAGTCCCTCAGGATTCAGCTGTTCCAGCAATTTACAGAAGAGCAGCTGCCTTTCTACGCTGCTGAGGCCCTAAAACACACACAGGTGTAATTCCAGAGCCAAACCTTTCTCCTTGTTCTCCTTGGCCTTCCTTTTTTTGATGAGGGCAGCCATGGGATCTCCTTCCCTCTCTTGCTCCCTCAGCATTCGATCCAGGTCCTGGTCATCGATGTAACGGGCCAAGGGCTTCTGCATCTCTTTGATGGCATCTTCCACGTTCTGCTGCTGCTGCCTCTCCTGTGCCAGCCTGGAAAACACAGAGTTTCACCCAAACCCAAGCAATCGCTCCCCGGGACGTGTTCAGTTTGCAGGATGCATCACGCTCCTGAACTCCCACTGTGTGTGCAGCATTCCCTATGCACTCCAGCAACACAGGGAACAACTGAGGGGTCTATAAGACATGTGGAAGATGCACTCCCCTGGTCCAGACCCAAACTTGGGAGGAAGTGAAATGCAACAGCACCAGACTGGAAGCAGATCCGAACCGGGCTAAAGGCAGGAGATGGGGAACATTGGGAGCACCTCACCCTTTTCCCCACTTGGCATATTGCTCTTCTCTCTTGGCCTCTGCTTCAGCCTTCTGCCTCTGCTCCAGCTGCTCCTGTGCCAGGTTCCTCTTGCGGCCGGACTTGTCTCGGAACACTGTCTTGGCGTTCCGGGATTCCTCTGGAGGAGACAGATGCCTCAAGTCACACGTTTTGGAACATTTCACCACCTCCACACAATTCAATTGCTGTAACTTTCATTTTGTTTGTCCTACTCTCCCAAAGAGCCTGTCACCCAAAGCCACAGCAGCTGAAGCAGAGAAGGAGAAGGTGAGCTGGGCTCGGGCCGTGTTCCCACATTCCTACCTTCCAGGTGCTTCATGCTTCTGTCTGGCTTCTGGAGCTCCTGCTTCTCCTTCTGCAGCACCTCTGCTGACACCAAGCCAGCTCTGACCCCAGATGACATCGTGTTTGCCTGGAAACCAAACTGGCTGAGAACAGCACACTGAGCCAGAGATCTAACGAGGGGCCACCCAAAACCACGAGGGACAGAGCAGGGACAGCCCTGGTAAAGCCATTTGTACAAAAACTTCCCCAATTTGCCAGTCATTAGACTTCCAGTTTTTCACAGCAGGAAGCAACAAGCAGCTGGAAAGGAAAGAGGCAATGTTTACCTTCCTGGGAGATCCCCTGGTGTCCTGGCGATGTGGGGAGTGGTCCGGGGGACTCCGTGACCTATGCTGGCCCTTCCCGGCTGGAGAGCTCCGTCCTGGAGGAAACGAATCAGAGTGGGAAGATTTGATAATCCCATACAAGGGAACGGGAATCACTGTCATGCCTGCAGAGCACCAACCCACAGGATCCACCTGTGGGAGCGTGGAACACAGTGGCAGGGCGGAGACAGCCCATGGCACAGGGCAGGTGGGACACACCTGTCCCAAAACTCACCTTTCAGTTGGCTTTTCCTCAGACTGGGTGAGCCGGGCTTGTCTCTCCGAGGGGATGGATCGGGGCTGTCGTGACGCTGCTTCCTGGGAGGCGACAGCTCCGGGGTGTCGTGGCGGCGACGCCGGGGAGGGGACAGGTCTGGGGTGTCCCAACGCTGTTTTCTGGGAGGAGATGAGTCCGGCGTGTCGTGACGCTGCCTCCGGGGAGGTGACGGATCTGGCGCGTCACGACGTCGTCGCCGGGGAGGTGAAGGGTCTGGAGTGTCCTGACGCTGTCGCCGCCTGGGAGGGGACGGGTCTGGGGTGTCATGACGTTGTTTTCTGGGAGGGGATGGATCAGGGGTGTCGTGG